AGATACCAAAGTTTACAGAAATAAAAAGCCAAGAATTATAAAGCAATTATTGAACCTAAAAGATATTATGAAAGTTTCTTGGCTCAAAAACCTTAAATTTTACAAGAGACTTACAATAAATGCAAAAAGAGTCAAAGGTAATGTAGCACTCTTAAGAATTTAAAAATTAAGCATTATTATGAAAGAAGAAAATGTATAAGAGACCACTGATAGTGTTTAATAACATTATTAAATTACTATTCTTGTTTTTTAAATTTCATTAAAGGTAAAGAAAATTCTTTTTCTAAATTGGATTTATGTTTAAGTAGTTGTTTTAGAAAAACTTGAGAATTTTTTTTGAGAATAAAGTTCCTGGCTCTGATGAAATTAATCCTAAAACCTTGGACAAACTTAGGAGCTAGATAGGATTTGGGGAACTGCACAGCCCTATTAGTTTGTTTTCTGTTATTAGCAATACCTTAGAATATATTGTTTGTTATTATTTTGAGAAAAGCATTTGAAAACTTGGCATTATGATTCTGATAATATTTTGAATAAAGGAGTTTCTTGCTTCCCAATTTTCTGTTATTTGAAGAGTCTTCTCCATTTTGGATAAGGACAACCCTTAACCATAACTTTCTCATAAGAACTTAATTTGCATATTGGACACATACCAGATTGGTGGAAAAGTTAATAAACATAAGGAAATACTAAGGCTATTCTGGCCACTGAGGTCCCCAAACAAAATAACCCTTTGTGTCCGTAAAATTATCCAACAAAATGGAAAAAAAGAGTTTAAACTACCAGCACACACACCACATCATCTGGTAAAGCATTAAATAAATTGACAACTCTAATTTCTCTAACAGCAATAAAAATCTTACTTAGTAATTGCACTGTAGCTGAATTTCCATAGTTTTGATTATTTCTTCTAATATTCTGGATTACCTCACTGACTATATTCTTCTAGCAGTTAAACAAATCTCCCATGGAAATTTTAAAATTTGGGGGCTTGTATAAAGTTTAATATTGTATTAGGGAGCAAAGAGTGAGTGGTAAAAGGACATTGTTCTCACTACAAGAATGTAACCATCGAGATAACTCAAGGGCCTGTTTTAAAACATTTGTACTGTTCATGATTATTTATATAAGTGACTTAGATAGCTTCTTATACAGTAATATTTCTAAATGACACTAAAATGCTACAAAAAGATAATTCTGTTGAGTATGTTTCATCCATTCAAGATTACTTTGACAACCATAGTGAATGAGCCAGAATGAGAAAAATGAAACTGAACATCAAGAAAATTAAAAGTTATGCACTTGAGCTACACAAGTTTGAATAGAGTTTTCTTTGTAACTGGGAGAAGAAGAAGAAAAAAAAAAGCTGGATTTTGAAGTTACTGTTGATAAAACACTAGTTTTCTATGGACTGTTTAACAATTTCTAAAAAGAGAAAACTGACTTAATGGATTTCTTGATTTTGTGTACACTACAGGAATTTTGAAGTTAGGATTAAAAAATAGAAAAATTTACTGTAACCATGACAAAAATCTGGCAAGGCTTTGCTTGGAGTATTATGCTGCACTTGGAAAAGAGAGGCTAAGTAAGTTCCAGTTGCATATAAGGCAGTTTTATCTTATCAAAAGGGGTGATTGGCTTGTGGAATGAGCTGCCTTTAACAATACAAGAATTTAAGGGGTAAATGATGATTTCCAAAAAAATAAGGGTTGGATTTACATTTTCTACTTTTCTCATGTATACATATGTTATGCTGTATGTGATAATGAACTTTAATATGTCCATCCTATTAGTGATTGTTTCTGAAAAATAATTCATTTCTAGGGAATAGAATTTGGGCAGTTGTGACTCATTTCCTTTTACCATTACACCCAAAACTGCGTAGAAACCCTTTTTCTCTTATATCCAACTTTCATCTCTAAAATACTCATACAATCTGGAGTTGTCTGTGTATTTTCCATAACTTAAACTTGTGTCCTCTTGTCTTACTGCCTGCATTTTTGTTTAATATACACACACATCTGGATTTGTATATTCCAAGCCCTTACTAATCTTCAAAACTCGATTATGTCCTTTTCGAGATGGCTTGAATGGGTAATGAAGAAAATTGTATTATAAATGTATGTTTCAACAAGATTGTGTACATTTATGATAGTTTTCTGCATTATCCATTCAAACTTTTATTTTCTTGTCATCAAACTTAAGGTCATAAGTTTACAAAGTGCTAACTTCGGCTCATTTATGATGTTGTGCTGAGCTTTGGTTTCTGTATTTAAGAATGGAAATTTATTTGATGGAGAGAACTCAGAGAAGAGCTACTAGGAGGTATCCAGATTTATGTATTATCATTTGGGGGATAGGTTGAAATTCCTTTGTTTTCATTTTCATTGGATAGGAGAAGGGTTTAGGCTTTTGAACTATTTTTCAATTATACTCAATATTTCTGTTTTGAAACATAAACTCATTTTTTGTCATATTACTACTTAACATATGTTGTCTAGAACAGTTACTACGATGATTCTATGGATGGATGGATGGTTTGTCTTATAGGGACAGGTTAAGATCTCTTATGTTATTTTCTCTAAGGAAAGAAAAAAAAGAGGTCAATCTTATCAAATTTACAAGATTACCAAGTAGATTTATAATATCAATTTAGGCCTTTGTTTTTCTTTGTTCTGTATTATGAAGAAACGGGATGAAAAACACAAGTTTAAGATTTGGAAAGAGATGTGGTAGGCTTCAGTTAATTAAGATGTCTCTATTTTTCTAATGTATCAATTAGGTTATGGAATGAGTTTTCAATGGCAGTAGTAGCTAGAGCACAGCATCTTACAGGAGTTTCACAGAGGAATCAATGTATTCCTGAATAATAAAGGTGGGTTAAAATTTCTATTTTTACTTTTATTCACTGGTGCATGTTAAGAACAGCCTCAAAGGATCAGAAGTGTTGTCCAAATGTTATGTTGTTTCAGTGGGACTTTAGACAGATTAGACATAGCAGACTTGAGAACTTTAATGGACTGCAACTACTTGTTGAAAGAAAAATAGACAATGTTTCAGTTTCTATACTAAAAAGCCTAAAGGCCTCAAAACATTGTCTCCTTTTCTTTCAACAGGTTGTTGCAATCCATTAAATTTCAAACCTACCAAATTTTATGTTGTGATAGCTTAGCCATCATCTTTTTCTTTATCAATTTCTTCTTGAGTTTCTCTTGCAAGGCTATAAAAATAATGTTGTGATAGCCAACATGAATAAACTTAAGATTTCTGAGAGATAAGATACTGTTTTCAGGAAATGAATGTTTCAGTATGAGTGTACGAGCTTTATAGTATTACTTCATGTTCAGAAAAACAAGTACCTTAAATATAAAACCCAAGAATATCTAAATAATGATGAAGTTCAAGTGAAAAATATACATATTACACACTTCAAGTTTTTGTTACCCTAGAAAAATACCTGAAACTTGAATTTTGAAAAGATAAGAAATATAAAGTAATTTTTAGAATATCATGAAATACATTAAAACTATGAAAACCAACTCATTTACAAAAAAATTATTTTACAAAGTTATGTACATTTATAATAAAGTTTTCATTATTATCTATTCAAGTCATATTCAAACATATTTAAATGTCCATTTATAATAAAGTTTTCATTATTATCTATTCAAGTCATATTCAACTTTTATTTTCTAAAAAATTCACTACTGGTGGGGTTAATATATTACATCACATATTGAGTAATTTTGTTTTGCCAACTGTGTGTAATTACAATATTGAGAATGTTTGAATTTTTTTTTGTAGGACTGTTATGTTATTACTATTAGGGTCCCTGTAACCAACAAAATAATGAACCCACAAACAACTTCGTACATAAATAGTTTTAAAAAATATGTTTCAAAAACAAATGAAATCCACATTACTTAAAATTCTTGGATTAAGATTAGAACAAAAAACAAGGAGACATAACACATGTATCATTTTACTCTCCTTGTAGCACACAGCTGATTTGGTTAGTTTCAAGCCTCAATTTGTGTATGAGCAAGCATTCTTTTCACTAAGGCTTTGTTCATCACTGGGCCTAGATAAGACCTTAAAATAATTTAAATTAATACATATGTCACTCTTATCTATGGTATATTCTAATATACTCAATTTAGTCACGGATCGTAAACTTGCATTTTCTTTTAGTCGACCTGATATACGAGTCTGTATAAAATTAAAAGAGCTTGCTCATACACAAACTGAGGTCTGAAATATGCTCTGCATAAAAAAATACTCTTGGTTCTATAACATCTGTTCACACTTTTCCTAAAGGTAACCTTGTTCTTGAATTCAACATTCTTACACAACTTGTAAACAGAACCAATAATTTTATGTTTTTCCACCACATCTAAACACTCCCCAAAAAACTTTTGCATAGGGGTTATCAACAATCACACCTAAGTCATTCTCTCTTTCCACAACATTAATAGTGCTCTCAAACATGTACTATATTTTTTCCAAATTTCTATACCCCAAATGCATAACTTTAAATACCTGACTTAACACTCATCTTTTGTATTCTAGTCTACTCAATACGATTGTAAAAGTTCTTTCTTTCAATTCATTTCTCTGTCCAAATTGTTAACTATTAGTATTAAGAATGATGGTACATAATACCTTTAATTACAGTTTGTTTATTTTGTTGTTGTTGTTTTGTTTTGTTTTTGGGGGGAGGGATATTTGCAGCTATGCCTAGGGTTTGCTGTTTAGTTATTATTTGGGAACTGGCCTTTTATTACCTTAAACTTTTTAATTTTTGGCTCACTTCTTAGAAATTACAAACATATTCATATGTTATTTCCCTACAACATTGTACACAACCAACTAACCATATTTAAATTACCTCTTCACACTGAATAACCATATATTCACTTACATAAACACAGCACTGGGTGTACATTTTGAATTAAATCTTGCCACAAAATTTAACAAATGTTAACAAATATATCACCAACCTCAGATGACAGACTGTATGAACCTTTTAGTACCAACTTCAAAATCACAGCATCCTGTTTGGCATCAAATGGAAATGTTCCAGACAGAAGAATGAATGTTATAACACCAACTGCCCACATATCAACAGCACATGTATAGGGTTGACGAGAAACTATTTCTGGAGCAATGTATTGTGGAGTACCACAAACAGTGTGCATGAAAACATTTCCATTAGGTTTCCTTGTACTGGCAAACCCAAAATCAGTAATCATGATGCGTGAATCATTGCCAGGATGATAGTACAGTAGATTATCTGGTTTTAAGTCTCTGTGTGTGATACCTAAACTATGAAGGTAACTTACGCCACACAACATCATCTTCAACACCTGAATTGCATCAGACTCCACAAAATATCCATGAGCTTCAATTCTATCTAAAAGATTGCCACCCGTTGCCAACTCCATTACCATATAAATTTTATCATTGCTCTCAAACACCTCTACAAGTCGTATGACATTGGGATGATTCACTCTTCTTAACACTGATAGTTCTGCTTCAAAAACCTCCTTCCCTTCTGGAGCTTCAATAAGTTTGATTGCATAAGGTTGTTTTGTAATTCTATGTTCAACACGAATCACTCGACTAAAACTACCTTTCCCAATTACAGCTTTAATATTATATCTAGCTGTTATTCTGGGATCATATATTGTTTTAGAATAAGATCGATTAACTTGGTTGGTTTTTCCGGTCTGACGTTTTCTTCTTCCTTTACCAACCCGCGAATGATCATTGGAGTGGATGTTACAAGTGCTAGCTGTTTGGCGGCTTGTGTCGCCAGCAGCACGTTGATTCCGTCTTTTGTCTGCGGGCACCTTTTTAACTTTCTCTTTTGAAAAAGGTATTACTTCATACACAGGTTTAATGGTATTTTGACGAAAACTATTTTCAAAGTCTACATCTTTCTCAAGTTTACTGTCTTTGCAACCCATGCTAAATCAGTAAATGTACATTATTTGAATACAAAATTCAAATCACTTGTAACTAAACATACAAACTTTAATAAAGTAAAGTGGTTCAACTTCGAGTACAAGTTGCTTGAGTCTGACCCTTCTTTAATCGAATGAACATTATTAGTATTACACTTACCCAAATTACTGAAACTGAAAGGAGAATCTGTAGAAAATAAAATTAAGTTTTGCTCGGCGTCACACTGATATAACGTAAATCTGTCCAATGTACATTCGATTAAAAGAGCGGATTTCAATATTTTCTTAAACTTTAGTTGAAAGTTCATGAGAATCATTTTCTTTTTAACATAACTCCAAATCGACAGCACAAAATTCACGAACACTTAACAAACCTACCTCTCCAACGTCTGGCACCTTTCTGTGTTTAATGGCGTGCGTAACAGATTTACTTGTTGATTTGTCAGCAGGCATGCGCAAAAGCTTCGTTGGCAAAGGAGGTTGACCCTCTAGCTTAATAAGATTAACATTACGAACTAGATGGCCTTTACTTTCTATGTTTTTCTTTTTTTGTTTTTTTTTTGCTGCCACCTTTGTTTCGTTTAGTCTCTTTATTTAACATATTCACCAATAAAATAAGTTTAGAAATATTATAAAACGAACAAAAATGTAGCGTGAAAAATATAAAACAATTCAAAGAGTAACGTAAATAATTTGATTTTCGACCATAAAGAGACAACATAACACAAAATTGAAAGCTCAACATAAGCATCATAAGTGTATTAAGTTTCTGAATTAAATTAAAATCTAATTACAGATACCTAAGATAGATTTATGTATAAAGAAGATTAATTTTGACTTTTCTTTTGTTTTTCAAACAAATACTTTTTACTGCTGAGGCATTGAAATTGGTAAATAAAGTTTGCTTTAACAATCTAAACATATGATATTATTAATTATATCTGTTTCTTTTTTTTCATTTAAATGTGAACATGAAACTGTTGTTGTGGCAAAAGTTGTAACTTATTGAAAAGGCCCAAGTTGTGTAGTCTATAGCCACTCGAAAACTTTGAAAGAATAATTAAGCCACCGGGAGTCACTTTGATGGATTGAGTGTTTGTTTTAGCACAAAGCTGCACAACAGGCGATTTGTACTCTGTCCACCGCAGGGACTCGAGCCATTGATTTTAGCATCGTGAGTTTCTAAACGTACCACTCACCCACTAGGGTACACACTAAGGTGGAAAAATATTGAAAACTTCTAATTTAATGTTTCGAAAATCGTTTCATCTATCATAAGGTATACCTTTACAATTACTAAAGTAGTTGATGATATTAATATCATCATATTTTACACATTCATAATTAGTATATAATATATCTATTTGGGTAATTTATTAATTTTCACACATAACTTCTACAGTTTTGTATGTAGTTAACGTCTTTCCGGTAAAGGAGATGTACGGATGTTAGTTGTCTTACTTAGATAAATGTAACACACTGAAACGGATATTTCTTATTAAATGTCGAAAACAACAATAATTTTTAAAATCCATAAAATGAAAAATGTTAACAATTTATTACAACTTATCTGTTGCGACAACTCCAACAGTCGGTT